CAAAAGGGGGTGCCACTGATTCACCCTGGAAGCCCTTCAGTCAAACACGGGGAAACTGCTGTTAACAGTTCCGGCCTAGACCCGTGGAGGAGTGAAGGAAGACTCAGGCTTACCAGATAACAATAACCTCCCAGAGTCTTGCCTGCCAGACAAAAGTTGCAGGAACTCCTTTCCCGCCTGTCTTCTCTATCTTCTTCTTAACAAGGTCGCCAGCTGGGTTATTACATCTGCACCCCAGCAATGCAGTTCAGTGGGTCTGTATTATATATTGTTTGTAGCCAGAAGATTGCTACTCCAATAGATCTGTTACTAGACTGTTGGCCCAGGGTACTCTCCCAGGAAGGTCTGGACAGAAGCGATAAATAAGCAGGGAAAAAGAAGTCCTCTCCTCCATTTTAAACTTAGACCCAAATATCACAGAAAAAGGTTATCATGTATAACCAAACTCAATTACGGGCTCACCATAGCCCGTGCTACATGGACACTTCGTCCTGAGTAGCTAAATCTTTAACAACAACAACAACAACAACTCAAAGATGCAGGGCTAACCATAGCCCATGCTACTTGCCCCGCTCCTGTGCCAGGTAAGTTACGGGCTCGCCATAGCCCGTGCTGCTTGGAACTTGTTCCGAGTAGCTGAATCTATAACAACAACAACTCAAAGATGACGGGAGACATCTCCCGTCCAAGGTTCAAGCGTTCCTTGAGGCTGTTCGGAAGATCGACCCCACCATAATACCTCACGACAATATGCTGGGAACGATATAGTCAAAAGAGAACCAGATTGTTACTGTTGTTGACCAAACAAATATTTTACTCGAAAATACTCGCCTTGGTTTATTTTGGGCGCTAACAATGGCCTCATTTATGTCGACGAAGTTGATAAGGTTGACGGGTCGCTGGGAGAGCGTTCTCTGTACCATAATTGATCTTGTCAGTCACAAGCGATAAGGATACTGCATGGATTTCTGCACATTAGTTCCTGAAGTATTTAAACCGTTTATTCTAAGGATATTCACTGATAATCAACTGTGTCCCAACCCGTTCCTTCGTTTGGAAATGATTCGCATTATTGCCATGTGTCCAAAGGAGTACCTGGAGGATGCAAATTCTCGCATGAAGGATGTAAACGGGCTGGGTTGTATTATAGATTGTTTGTTGGTTGGTGTATATATATATATATATATTACAATATCCAACATATATATATATATATATATATCCTATATATATATATATATATGTGTGTGATAATGCAACAGTGTAGTATAACATTATCATATATATATATATATATATATATATATATATATATATATATATATATATATATATATATATATATATATATATATATATATATATATATATATATATCAAAACGTGTACAAAGAAAATCAGCATGTGAATGCAATAACACGTATCAGTATAAATGTTCCTTGATACACAACAATGATCAATCGATCACTCTATCAGTCCTAGAACACATACATCCGTGGGTAATCCAGCCTACGACTGTAACTCTAAACTTCAGTATAAAACACTCCTTGACATAAGAATGCAAACAACCACTCACCTCTCACTGCGTCTTGCACGCTAATGACAACCAAACACTATCAACTCCCTACAAGTAATCTACCAGAACTTCCCTTCCACCTCTGGAAGTTCACTACCCTGATATCTTCAGGTTCTTCCGGGCTTCACTACCAGGATCCTCTGCAGCTCCTCCAGGCTGCTATCATGAAGTTTCCTTGAGCAACTACGGTGCTTCACCCTTCTGCTAGGGTCCTCCACAGCTCTCTTGGCTGCTACACCATGAAGTTCCCTCGAGCAACTATGGTGCTTCACCACCTCTACAGAAGCACGTGACACTCCTCTTCACTGCTTCTCCTCACAGCTCGAGGTCCTCTGTTCCACTACCTTGGAGTCTCATCAACTACTCCTTCTGTGCTGGCTTCGAAGTTCTCAGCAACTTCTTCCCCAAAGACAAACCACAGATTGTCTCGTCGAGGGCGCTCCTCCCTCTGACGGAGCTTGGTCAGGGCGCTGCCACGGCCCACGATAATGCCTCTGGGCGGTTTAATACTCTCCTCGTCGACCAGGACTTGAGACCACACATCCCCAGCTCGATTCCACAGCTGGTACGTCTGCACACTTCTCTTCTCTTCGAGATATATCACTAGGGGTTCCCTTCTGACGGGAGCTCAACGGAGCGCGGCTTTCCCCCTGCGATGTCTGGCCTCAAGTGAGGTCAAAGCCCTCCAGAAGCGAGCCTCACACCTCCAGCAAAATGTCCACATCTCCTAGCCAGTCATTTATCTGTTTTCTTCTTCACTGCCCATAATCTCAAATTGTTATTTAAATCCTACCAACTATTTTACGTATGTGTTATCGCCTCTATATTTCCTATACCTTCTAGTTAGGTCAGGCTTGCTGAATAACTCTCAAGGGGAAGACTCGTTTCTCCTGTAGGCTGAGATCATAACAGTTGCCACAGGTTCATAATTGGAGTTGCATCACCTTGAACCTAATGACACTAAGTTGAGTTTAACTGTCTCTGTTGCCAAGTTGTTGCGCATCCTTGAGACAAATTGCAAGCTAGACGCTGTTGCAGCTTCAGCGACGCGCCTAGTGAGGTGTCTGGAGACTGGATCAGAAGTAGTGTTTTTGAACCGTATTGTTCAGCTGGGACAAAAGGCAGAGGCATCGCGGGAGATATATCTTCTAAATGATCACCAAATTTCTCAAACTATAACGTCGTTTTGTAATATCTGTTATATATATTTAAGGCGCTGGTGGTTGACCTTATACTCTTCGGCGTATAAGGTTCCTAGTCTTGCAGAATCCGCTGCATCTTCCCTCGTTACTGTCACCGATTCATTAGTTCCAATAAACTCTAGGTTGCGACAACAGGATGCAAAAATACATGTAAAGATATTCACAAGTTTGGACAACATTTACAAAGCATTGCAAGAGAAATCGACGTCTGTTTCTCGGGTGTTGCGCCAGAATCACGCCCAGGTCCTGTCTTCACTCAACAAGCAGGGAGCAGAGTCTGGATTCTGTTTCAACCACTTCCCAACTCCCATTGAGGAGTCGACGGAGGACTGGCCGGAGAGGTTCGTGGACAGTGTGACGGGAGCAGTGATGGAGGCGCCGGTGCTGTTACACTCGTCCAAGATGGTGGTGGACGAGTCGACGCTGGTCCAACTGCTGTTTACATCCCACCCATCCGACCCCTTCACGCGATGCCCTCTGGACCACGGCTCCTACACTCGCCTCCCTGACCTCCAGGCTGACATTGTTGCTTGGGAGAACTCTACCATTGGAGTAAGCAGTAGCGAGAGTGATGTTAATAACGACACCAGAAACGACTATGAGATGACGAGAGAGAACGACAGCGTCGCCAGGAACATTGATAACTTTGAAAGAGACAATGTGTACAGTACACATGTAGACATCAACAGTTGTGAACTGCGTAAACTGCTTTCGTAGTTTGGGTAGCTCCTATAATTACTTTTTTTCGATGTTCAGTAAATATAGAACAAATCCCGTTAATGTGATTTCTTTATGCACTGAAATCAATAAATTATGTAGTTTGTACATTCGTATTTTAATAAATATATATCTATAGGAAATTACAATTGCAGTGATCTATTAATCCTAATCATTTTAAACAAAATACCACTCGTCATCATCTTGAAAAACAGATTAATAAATTAGTTACAACATCGTTTTTCTAATGGCCTTCGATATATAACAAATTTGCTTTCATTTTATTCCATCATAGATGAGTCATTTGATAGTAAGGTAAGGTTTGTGATGTTGTGTACCTTGACTTTAGCAAATCTTTTGATTCAGTGCCAAATGAAAGACTGAATAAGATAGAGGCTCGTGGTATTGGGGATGCTATATTAAGTTGAATTAGGGCATGGCCAAAAGAGAGAAACAAACAAAGAGTTAGTATAAATGGAGTCAGCCAAGTCAGAGTGGGAAAATGTTGTAAGTAGAGTGCCTCGAGGCTCTGTCTACCTCTTGCTTGATGGGCTTCTGGGAGTTCTTCTACTCCCAAAGCCCGGTCATGCACAAACGAACATTTCCATTTTTATTTATATAGATGGTAGACAATGGCTCGCAAAGCTCCTCTTTACATTCCTTTAGCACCCTGGCAAACACTTCATCCGGCCCTGGGGATTTGTTTGGTTTGAGTTTTACTATTTGTTTAATAATATCATCCCTGGTAACTGATAGACTAGTTAACCTGTCCTCGTCCCCACCCACATAAATTTGTTCGGCTGAAGGCATAATGTTAAGTTCCTCTCTAATAAATACAGAGATAAAATATTTATTAAAAATACCACTCATCTCGTTATCAGTTATCTGACCTGTCCCAGTTTTTAATGGACCAATCCTTTCCTTAATAACTACAACTTCCCTAATTCCCTAGACTACATTTCAAATTTTCCCTAACATATATGGCTACTTCCTTTCCACGTCTCATATATATATGTGTGTGTGAAATAGTTTAAATCCATGAATATGATATTCAGCTAATAGTTCTCTGTTTTCTACATTAATCCATGTTTCAATGAGTGCAATAATATCTTGTTTTTGTGCAGACAAGAGCATTTATATCGTTTAATTTGTGTCTTAGACTCTTACTGTTCGTGTAATTTACATTAAGAGTGAACAAATCTACAAGGGCCGCAATGAGGGTTCGAACCTACGTCCGGGATGATCCCCAGGTGCGTCCGGGATCTGGGGCAAGATTCACGAAGGTACTTACGAATGTTTTTCTTCTTAGCGCCTTCTTAGCGGTTATGTCGGTATTCAGGTAGCCACACTAAGAAGGAAAACCTTCGTAAATTTGCTCCGTCATCTAAGTGTGCTGTCGACGGCAATCGAGGGCAGTGAAGAAGGTGTTCCAATGTATCCGCCCTCTCAATACGGGTAAGAGGCTCGATAATAAACCAATGAAACTCATATTAAATGCAATATTAATGTTTATTGTATACACTGTCTTTAATATGTTTACAAATTGTATTAGTAAAAGTAATAACTATAATTTTCATAAGTTGTCAAAATTTGCTCAATACATATTTTTTATCAGTCTAAACAGAAACCGACGACAAGTTATTATTTAAATTAACTAACAGTGGAAATTTACACAACTCTAGTTTGCATTTTTAAGTGAAACTATATAAAAAAGAAGTAAATTTTACAAGAATAAGTTTTCACATAAATCAACCCTCAGTGATGTTATTAATATATGACCTATAAAATTAACAATATTGAATCTGCTTAATAAAGGTTGATCTTGTTAAATGTATTCAATCTATTTAAAAATATTTAGTAGTTGGCCTAATTAATTGGGCCAGTTGACCTAGTTAACAATGATTGATCCGGTCAACTAGCTGACCTATACTTGTCAATCACTTAACCCGTTTGCAATTAAGGGTGTACATTTTTATTTAGTCATCGGTTTATATATAGTTAACGTTAGTTGAATTATTTAACAATTATTAACTTTAAATAATTAGCAATCTTATATCCTGTTAGTAATAGCTAATCTAGTATTCTAGGTAATTTTGGATCTTGTTAGCAATAGTTGTCCTAATTCTCCATGGTTTTTTGTTAGCTACGAATGACCTAGTTAACAACTGGTTAATCAATTAACAGCGAATGGCATGATACACACACTGATTAATTTAGTTAATTCAAATTTAAGATTGGGCTAGATGAAGCAGGGAGAGGTTGCAGGGATTGGGGTCAAACGGGACTTGGAAGAGGTGGATAGGGCTGGGATGGGTAGTGGTAGAGAGGTTAGATACTGACTGGAAGGGGGTTGGGGCGGTGAGGTTCGACAGCACAAAGGACTAGACTCAGGGGCACCAGGATGGCCTGGTTGAGGCGGCACAGTTGTCGTTAGGATGGAAGAATGTGTAGGGGCCAACGATGCACTTCCAGCAGCACAGTCTACCCAGATACTGCAAAAAACAATATCTCTCTTATTACAATATAATACAATATGCCGCTTAATGCTTATATTAATTAAAGAGAGAGAGAGCTCAGGCCTATACTCTATACTAACGATTACATATGGAAAAATAAGAATCACCAACTGCTACGTGACTCATTAATCAACAACTTTCAGCAATATCATCCTGGGGTTGGCGATATCAGGTCACAGTTGTGGCTGAGAATACAACGACGATGATGATAACATTATAGCATGATATTGCAACTAGGATATAGACGAATGGGTGGCAGAAACATTGTGTTCAGTGATGAACTTGACAGTTTGGAAATGAAGTTTGAGTCCTCAATGACAATGAAGAACAACGTACGTAGCCTAGCAAGCATGGCAGCCAAGAAATGTACAGGCCTCGTGACAGCTGGAGGTGTACATCCTATATGAAACAAGTTTGCTATCATCTGAAGTATGCACCGCTCTCCTGGCCGGCCTGCTCCTCATCTATTCGAATAATTTAATAATAATAATAATTCATTGTGTCGGGGGACAGGCAGCCAATTTATACATAGAGTACATGTTTGGCTTATATCGAGGTTTCTCCCCCAGGGTCGAATTACTGATCCTCCCCAGAATGTAACCCCACAACAATTATGCTGACTATAAGTGGCTGCAGTCGAGCTAGGCTCCTGGTCCCGCCTTCCGATCGTTCTTAGATTAATGCAATGACTCATTTATATATAACTGCTGGGTACCTATTTACTGCTAGGTGGACAGGGGCATTAGGTGATAAGAAACGTGCCAAACTATTTCTGTCCTACCTGGGATACGAACCCGGAATTCTCGGTTAAGTCGAGAACGATCCCGACTGTACTACCGGGACCCTTAATTCTGGACAATGTGGAGAACCACGCGAGAAGGCTCATCTCTATAGTCTTAACCTGTATATGAAAGCCTTCAGTACCAGAGAATACTGGCTGGCGGACTTAATGTTATGTACAAGGCCAATATTCTCAAGGTTCCCCATATGGTCCAACTTCGTGGACAACACATAGACGGAACCACAACACAAGGCGCTCAGCAATCAACAGCCTCATGCTGGATATGCCTTTCTCAACATCACTCCGTCAGCAGTCATTCTTCAGAGGCTGACTCACGTTTGGAACATGTTCACTCAACATTTAGATATGCGGGAAGTCAAACCAAAAGATCATATGAAGACCTTGGTGCTTCGCTTCTATGCCCAAAGGGTTTGGAAAAGGCGGGAAAAAGGAAGACACAGTTGGTTCCTGGTTCATCCTGTAATTTACACGAAAGTAACTTAGCATTAAATTAATTTATTCCTATTGGAAACCTAATAATAACCGTAACACATACGTGAGTTTCTAGGGTCAAATGAGCTGTTGGAGGATAACAACTTGCAGTTTCATTAGGAACATAAACCCCACTCCTAGTGAACCCTAGTTTTAGTTAAGAAAAATGATAAAGGGAGACTTACACCCACTAAGGATCATTCCGTAAGCGATTATTCATGTGGTTGTCTAGTCCCCATAAATACAATATTTAATAAATTAAGCCAATTGGCCATCTACAATGGGAGGAGGGACCTTTGACAAGCCACCGGCTCCCTGTCCTCGTCGAGACCACTAGAGAGATGGTGGTCCTCAGGATAATTCAGGTAAAAACTTGTTAGTATCTTTGTAGCCTAATATTAAATAAAATATTCACATTGAAAATAAAACTTACTATAGATCTTTTTATACAGACTCTCAAGCCTTACCAAGAACACAAAGCGCGGTTGTGACTTTGCAAAGAACGTAATGTATTCATCACCATTGTTACAGCCGACTGGTTACAGGACCTACTGTACTTTCTCGTGTTTAAACAAATAAATTAAATGAGAATTTCCATTGAAACATTTTTGCCAATCCTAGTTTCAGTTTGAAAATTAAAGAGAGAGAGAGAAAGTGAGGGGTTAAAGAAGAGAGTGTGTGTGTGTAGTAGTGAGCTGACCGTAGAGCCTTCCTTGCCGCAGTTGCTGGCGACGTAGTGAGCGTGGACCTCTCCTGCGACACCTGGTGGCAGGTCCAACCCGAACAGTTCACAAAGCTTGACGGTGGTGTTGCCAGTGATGGGGATTACATTATCTCCGAAGAGTTTCTTGACATGCTGAAAAAGCAAATTACAGAAATGAATTCAAATATAGGAATGCAAGTGTGAAGCAGCTTCCAGTACGCACCAATCATTATGCCGCCCGGGGAATTCTTCAAGTTACTTAATCCTCCTGGTCATATTTACTGAAAGTTTACTTTTAAACGTCATTGAGACTTTAAGCCTATCACGAAACTTAAGCAGAATTTAATACGTCTCGAACATTTCTCCTCCCAGGCCTCGTACCCTTTCTCCAGCTCCAACAGCAACGGAACAACCACCTATAAACTTAACAGGTACTCTGTTCCGGACAATGGTATACCTCATCATTTTACATGGAGGCAACGTCTTCTCTTGCCACCTTTGGGCTAATTCTTAGTGTAGTCCGTGATAGTACCGACGTCTGTCAGACGTTGGTCTTTAATATTTATGCTTCTCTTATATCTGCATAAGTAGGCCTATACAGTGTCAAAGTTATCATTCTAATACTTCAGCCCGTTCTCCTGTTTTGGTAAGAAGGTTTTCTCATCCTTATAGGAAGAATGAAGGCTATAGTATATATACCGAGGTACAACACAATTAGAAAGTAGAAATCGGTACTATTTAATTTGGACAAACTGGAAAAATATTTTCTACTTATGTTGCGAAGACAAAGTAAACTAACCTACCCTGATCTTGCTAGATCTAATACACGCTATCTGAGGCCTAGTATAGTACATATGTGTGCTATTCTAGGCCTAGGAAGAGTTAAGTTTGTTTTTATTCTCATTTTTTTTTGGACTGTAAAGTGAATAGTACAAAGTTCTACTATCTAATTGTTTAGAAAGTCAATCTTTGTACTATGGTACACATAGTTACAAAAAACTAATATCTAAACAGGAGAATGGGTTAAATATTTAGCTATATATTTTACAAATATATTTCACCACTAATTGTTTGCCATATATCATTACTCCTGTCAGATTCAAGTTATTTATGGCTGTACACCTGTTCAGTCCAGGCAGAGATGTGAAGATTTGTATGAATATTCACTAATTAAAATTCTAATGTTGTCGTTAATGTTGGTAATGCATATATATATATTAGTCAGGGATGGTCGTAGAAACATCAATGGCGACGATATTTACCGCGCGTTTCAGTATCCCTCAACGTCTGTGGTAGAAAGTAAACTAAAAAAGAAAACGTCCTCTTTTAAAGTGATATTAACACATAAAAGTCTCAGGTGTCGCCCACCTCCGTAATGAATACAGACATCAATTTAAAGGTGAGGGAGCGATTAATAACATACAATAATACAATATAATTAAACGTATTGACATGGATGAAAAAAAAAATACAAGCTTTTCGAAAAGTTTAGGAAGTTACCGCACCAGGCTATAACAGTTCAGAGGCGGACCCAGGAGAAATAGCCTAAGCTACTCTATCCCTTTGAGATGTATTTTCTTGTCTCAATAAACATACTTGAACTTGAACAGGTGAACAAAGAGAGCCAGTCGGCACTCACCCCCAGCAGGCCAGCGGGACAGTCTCGCCTGGCTGTCTGGCAGGTGGCCCAGGGGAAGCCTTTCACCCTGAAGTCGTCCACGTCCTTCGTCACCTTCCCGCTCGTCGTGGTGAGGATCACGTCCACGAAGCACCTGGAGAAGGGGAGGTTATCTTGAGATGATTTCGGGGCTTTTAGTGTCCCCGCGGCCCGGTCCTCGACCAGGCCTCCACCCCCAGGACGCAGCCAGTGACAGCTGACTAACACCCAGGTACCTATTTACTGCTAGGTAACAGGGGCATAGGGTGAAAGAAACTCTGCCCATTGTTTCTCGCCGACGCCTGGGATCGAACCCAGGACCACAAGTCCAGCGTGCTGTCCGCTCGGCCGACCGGTTCCCGGTTAGACCGGGGAGCGGGAAAGTGCTCGACAAATTAGCAGGTAGGCTTCAGTTTATATTCTTGCCCTCATGTTCCTTCTTAGCTGTTGTTGTTGTTTTAGATTCAGCTACTCAGAACTAAAAGTTCCAAGTAGCACGGGCTATGGTGAGCCCGTAGTGAACTTATCTGGCACAGGAGCGGGGTGTCCTTCTTAGCAGTTCTTATCTAACACTAGCAGGAAAGAGCATCGGCTCGTTGGATGAACCTTTACAGTTGTTGGTCATTTAATTATGATTCCTGTGGTTGGGGACAGGAAGCCTGTACTTAGGGTTATGTACCAGGATGCAACACAACTATTGCCAAGCTCCCGCCTATGCCTGCTTAACTGTTAGATTAACTTGTTTTATTTATTTATTTAGTTATGCAAAAGTTCTTACAATCTTGTAAAGACACTAGTACGCATAGCGTTTAATAGCGGCACGAGGTGAAAGGAAACATGCCCAACTGTTTCTGTCCTGTCCGGGGATTGAATCCCGGTCCCTCTGCTGCAGCCGAGGACGTAGACCACTGCGCAATAACTCCCATCCCCGTTGTTGTTTAAGATTCAGCTACTGGGAACAAAAAGTTGCAAGTAGCACGGGCTATGGTGAGCCCGAAGTGGACTTACCTGGCACAGGAGCGGGGCTGTAACTGTCATCAAGGGCCTGACAGCTGAGTGGACAACGCTTCGGATTCGTAGTCTTGAGGTTCCGGGTTCGATCTCCGGTAGAGGCGGAAACATATGGGCAGAGTTTCTTTCACCCTGATGTGCCTGTTCACCTAGCAGTAAATAGGTACCTGGGAGTTATAGAGAGCTGCTACGGGCGGCTTCCTGGGGGTGTGTAACAAAAGGGAGGCCTGGTCGAGGACCTCAGCCCAGAAATCATCTCAAGATCTCAAGACAGATCCCCATCGTTCCCTTCTTATTTGCTGTTATAACTGTGGATACCCCCCCCCCCCACCCCCCTGTAATTTATCCTCGTGATTCATTAACTAATTCATCTCTTATTCACATCTTCGCATCTAGCTTCCATGCTTGTTTTATTGCTGCTCAACCTAAACATTTTAACTGTCTTCCTATATTGAAATACTAGTCAATATTTAATATATCTGAATCATAACACCTTTGGTTACACACGTAAATCACATTATCGTGATATATCAATGAGAAAATCAGCAAGAGCAGTGATGAGGATCGAACCTATGTGCTGGGTATTCCCAGATTCACACTCTAAACGACTACGCCACGACATGGTCAAAATAATTACAACCTGGGGAACTACTGCACCTCGAGGATTCCTGAAGCTTCCACGCAATCCCCCCCTCCTTGCACTCTGGTTCTGTCGTCCTAGAGACAATATATATATATATATATATATATATATATATATATATATATATATATATATATATATATATATATATATATATATATATATATATATTAGTATATTAGTATATTTTGGTAGCAGTCTTTCCTGTAGACATATATTATTAAATATGACCGAAAAAGTAAGATTAATAATTCTAACACGAATTTTCTCAGTGTTTCTTATATTTTTCTTCACTGTTGATGGTAACTGAAAAATCAATTCTCCAAAATTCATTTTTATTTCTAGTCTGACGCGACACTTGAGCGCGTTTCGTAAAACTTATTACATTTTCAAAGACTTTAGTTTACACAGACGAACAACTATATATATATATATATATATATATATATATATATATATATATATATATATGAGTGCTGGGTCTGTCATGGCACCCCATTTCGTGTCACATTCCGTGTAGTGGGGGTCCTGTATCCCCGCTACATCACTCAGGGTGTCAGGTAGAATTTCCTTAAGCAGGTCATCTGATGCTGAGGAGGAAGACAGGAAGGCTGGGACTGCAATTTGGGTGGCGGTGCGGACACCCAAGCCACCGAGCCTGACAGGAAGAGTGGCTTGTTTCCACTGGCATTCGTTGAGAGAGAGGTTAACAACTTTTTCCAGCATGGTCTTCAGTAGGAGGTCATACTCGTCAAGCTTTGGGTTGTTGTAAGATGGGGCGCACCTCAGAAAGTAGGTTAGCCTCGGAAGGGATAGGCATTTGGTGAGGAGATAAAAAGCATCGTGGGCATCGATGTCACCTATTCTGTCTTCCATCCTCCTAAGGTCTGCGATTTTCTTGTCGAGGATCTCCTCAATGGCGTTAGACCCGAGGGGAGCTCCAAGGAGAGTGCTGTTCTCGGCCCTAATGACATGGGCTCCAGGCAAGGCAGACCTTATTCTAGCTACGATGTCTGGGTTGGAGGAGACTACTTCACACTTGGAAGGGTTCAGGACGAGACCCAGGCTTACTTCTTGCTCCCTTATTTTCCTGATATCTGACAAGAGGTGGTCTACGGTGCCAGCTATAGTGCCATCATCCAAAAACCAGATGTTGAACTCGCTGGACAAGCTTTCGGTGATTTCTTTTAAGACTAAGCAGAAAAGAAGGGGAGCAAGAGGATCACCTTGCTGAACACCTATATATATATATATATATATATATATATATATATATATATATATATATATATATATATATATATATATATATATATATATATATATATTTTATTAAATATGACCGAAAAAGTAAGATTAATAATTCTAACACGAATTTTCTCAATCTTTCGTACATTATGCTTCACTGTTGGAGGTAAATCAAAAATCACTTCTCCAAAATTCATTTTTATTTCTAGTCTGACGCGACACGGGCGCGTTTCGTAAAACTTATTACATTTTCAAAGACTTCACAAATACACAACTGATTAGAACTTGCGTTTCCCTGATTTTATATCTACATTTGAGTGAGGTGGGAAGGGTGATGTGGCATTACATTTGAGTGAGGTGGGAAGGATGATGTGGCATTAGAGGATATTAATAGGGTATTAAAAGTATCAACACAAGACAGAACACGAAACAATGGATATTGAATAGAAGTGTTTGTAGAAAGCCTATTGGTCCATATTTCTTGATGCTTCTATATTGGAGCGGAGTCTTGAGGTGGGTAGAATATAGTTGTGCAATAATTGGCTGTTGATTGCTGGTGTTGACTTCTTGATGTGTAGTGCCTCGCAAACGTCAAGCCGCCTGCTATCGCTGTATCTATCGATGATTTCTGTGTTGTTTACTAGGATTTCTCTGGCGATGGTTTGGTTATGGGAAGAGATTATATGTTCCTTAATGGAGCCCTGTTGTTTATGCAAGACTTTTTGCTCGATGGTACCCATGTAGAAGTTTGCAAACAGGACACCTAGGGGAGAACCCATAGCGACCCCATCTACTTGCTTATACATATGCCCATCCGGGCTCAAGAAGGGTGCCTCTTTAGTACAAGCTTGGAGTAGTTTCCTCAGAATACTTTCTGGCATGTCAAGAGGAGTACAGGCTGGACCCCTAGGTGTCCTGTTTGCAAACTTCTACATGGGTACCATCGAGCAAAAAGTCTTAGTCGACATGAAATTGAAACCGGCCATATACTGCAGGTATGTTGACGACATTTTTACACAGGTACCTGATGTCAGACATCTGCAGGAGCTGAAGGAGGCATTTGAGCAGAGTTCCGTGCTGCGTTTCACTTACGAGACGGAAAAGGATGGGAAGCTGCCTTTTCTAGATGTAACAGTCATGGAAAAGGGCGGAGGTTTCCACACTGCAGTCTACACAAAGGAAACAAACATAGGAATGTGCCTAAATGCCAACAGCGACTGCCCTGACAGGTACAAGAGGAGTGTTGTTAACGCATACGTCGACCGTGCTCTCAGCCACAGCTCAGAATGGAAGCAAGTCGACGAAGAACTCTGTAGGGTAAGGCAGGTTCTAGTCAATAACGGCTTCTCCAATGGTTTCATCGAAGACATCATAAGAAGGAAAGTGAAAAGCCATGCAACCTCCGAAGAGACAACTAACACAACACCTATACCCCCTATTAGACTATTTTACAGGAACTTCTTTTCCACAGCTCATAAAACAGAGGAAAGGGTCCTGAAAGATATTGTTAATAGAAACGTTATCCCTACAGACAAAAATCAGAGGATACAACTGACGATTTACTATAAAACCAGAAAACGGCCAGCCTACTCATGAGAAACTCTCCAGACACGAAACAGAACGCTTTAAAAGAGACTAACGTCGTCTATGCCTTCAAATGCCCACTTGGGGACTGTAAGCTCCAAAAAACCCAGTATATAGGCAAGACAACAACATCTCTTTCTAGGCGTTTAACGATGCATAAACAACAGGGCTCCATTAAGGAACATATAATCTCTTCCCATAACCAAACCATCGCCAGAGAAATCCTAGTAAACAACACAGAAATCATCGATAGATACAGCGATAGCAGGCGGCTTGACGTTTGCGAGGCACTACACATCAAGAAGTCAACACCAGCAATCAACAGCCAATTATTGCACAACTATATTCTACCCACCTCAAGACTCCGCTCCAATATAGAAGCATCAAGAAATATGGACCAATAGGCTTTCTACAAACACTTCTATTCAATATCCATTGTTTCGTGTTCTGTCTTGTGTTGATACTTTTAATACCCTATTAATATCCTCTAATGCCACATCATCCTTCCCACCTCACTCAAATGTAATGCCACATCACCCTTCCCACCTCACTCAAATGTAGATATAAAATCAGGGAAACGCAAGTTCTAATCAGTTGTGTATTTGTGAAGTCTTTGAAAATGTAATAAG